TCGCAATCCTGCGATAGGTGGCGGGTGCGGCGTGTGCGACGCCGTGTTAGGGGAGAAGTTCCCGGACCCGTTAGTCAACCATACATCTTCTTGCGTCATACGATGATACTCGTGCTTTTAGGCAAACATTTACATGATAAATGTAACAAATGGGGATTTCAGTGAGGAAGGAGCGTCTCAGGAGTAATTCACAATGCTATTGTTACGCAATGCCTTCGGCTAACCTCATGCTACGTATTACAGATTGAAGGAGCATTTCCAAAGGTTGCCACCTAACATTCAAGACATGCTCGCTGAAATGTATCCTTCTCTGAAGCCAATCCGTAAGCTTCATGATTAGCTTTTGCAAAAATTAAGCATTTGGGGACTTTCACCTGACCACTAGGCCCCTGTCAAACAGACACTTGTGGCAGAACACGCCACGAGCCTGACGGGTGCAATAGTTGTCCTGTACCATCTGTCATCCGATTGGCCATCGCTTCATTGCATAGAAGATAAGAGCTGAGGGAATTTGGTATCACCAATAGGACTCTTGAGAATCTGCTAACTGCTAGTTAGCCACTACAGCGGTGGATGATTTGTTTTATTGGATTTCTTACTCGAACAGTTCACGGTTCTGTCATCTTTTACAGGGTCCAGCGTCGAAGGACCAGGGAGAACTTCGAAAGACGCTGTAGCAGCAAAAAATTATTTAGACCTTCGAGCTTTATCAAATGAAATGTTTGGAGTGGAAATGGAAAGGCTCAGGGACAATGCACTGGTCAGTGTATTTGCATAGGATTTCAAAGAAAGTCTTTGGACCCAGGGCAAAACTCGACAACAGTCAGAAAAATCCGAAGAAGGCGTTAGCTGCTGACATTAACAAAGGGCACTGCAGGATAATCCACAAAATTTTGTGACGGAAAAAACCAAGCAAGACACGGCTCCCTATGGATCGGCCCGTGACTTTGCCGAAATGGTTAGTCAACTATTAGGTTAATGCATATTTATTGCGGATTTTTTAAACAAATTTTATTTAACAAAACGATAAAAATACTGAACAAAAACATGTTCAAATAGTTACTCCGGAACTTATCCACCATCTACGTCAAGTACTGCTTCCCATTGGCTAGATAGCCTGATTTCAAAAGTTAAGAGCTTTTGATCCTTGGGGGCGATCCACGCCTTGACATCGGCCATCAAGTCATCCAAATCGACGTAACTTCTATTTTCTAGCCATTTTTTCAGCGAACGGTTGACGAGATAATTCATATAAGTTTTTGCTGGTGAATATGGCAGATTTAGGAGCGGATCCCATTTCTTGGTTGGCTCTGGCTGATTGTTCGATCGCCGAAAAGTTACTGTAATCGCGGAATGGCTCTGTCACCTTCCAACCTTTCTTGAAGTAGTAGAGCCTAATTTCGCGGAGATGCGGATGGTTTTCTAAGTACATTTTTGTAGTGGAAATCAAGCAGATCATTTTAAAAGAAAACTGAATTCAATATCCGAATTGTATTAAGAGCAAAAAAAAAACCGCGAAAAAATCCGCAATAATTGTGCATCAACCTAATACATCTCCTTGGGTCATACCATAGTATTCGTGCTTTTAGGCGAACAGTTACATTGTAAACGTAGCAAATGGAGATCTCAGTGAAGAAGGAGCATCTGAGGAGTAATTAACAGATGATTATAGCACCTTTAAATGATCTAATGTTATTTTTTTGCAGACTGAAGAAACAATTCCAAAGTTTGCCACCAAGCATTCAGGACATGCTCACAAAATTGTACCCTTCTCTAGAACCAATCCGTAAGCTTTATGTTCACTGATAGCGAAACCAGAGTGAAATATCTGCCTTTCATCTTATGAGTCGATTCTTTGCTAGACTGGTTTTTTTATGACATCAGGAACAACCTTGGCGTCCCCGGCGAATAACCTGTGCCCGAGCATGTGATCTCAAAGACCTAAAGACATACCTACGAACATACTACAAAACATAATACAAAACTTTCCCGAAAACCGCTCATGAGTTTTTGCTAACAATATTAGTGAATGCTTAACAAATTAGGAATTCCACTCTTCTATAAAGAGGCACCGTAGTCTGAGCAGTATTGGCAAATACGAACATATCGCAGCCTCTCACTTATACCACATTCAAGCATTCGAGACGAAAGTCGTCCTTGAGATTCCTCCCCCACCCCCTAGATGGAACCTATGGCCTACAAATGCAGTACATGGAACGTTTCAAAGCGGTGATCTCGTGCAGCCTCATTTTTGCTACTTTTTCGAAGCCTTATGTTTTTTAAACCTGCCGATTTCTCGCCTTCTTCACCAATCTAGCACTATTCTACACCACGACTTCCTTTACTTCACTTTAAACTGAATACCTCAGAAATATCATGAACTATGCCATTAAGAAGATGAACGGGTAGTACTTTAAAGCAAAATATTTGGAATTTTTCTTAAATTGAGTTGGACGACAAGGGGATCAAAGCAAAGGTTTTGCCCATAAAAACCATGTTCGGCGTAAAAGTAGCTGCTTGTACCTGTTGCTATGAACACGCTTTTATGGGTAACGGAACTTCTCCCCGATTGCGGCATTCTCCCTTGCGGCATGCGGCAAATGTCACTGCAACTCCCGTACTCCCCC